AAATTAACAAACAACACTATAATATAACCACAAAATTGTATTTGGATCCACAATTATCTCTATAGTTCCTGGAATAATTTGAAACCTAACTGTTAGGATAATAGACCTCCCCATAATGCACCCTTGACCAGCATGTATAAATAGTTGAGACAAAATACAATGTACATTGCCTGAAGATTGTGTTTAAACATAAAACAGACTGTTGCTGCTGGGGGTGAGGAAAAAAGGTGTTTTTTTTTTTTTTTTTAAGATTGTTGTTCTTTTATTTATATATACATTTACATTTTTGTTAATTTTTTAATTTAATGTAAATAATACAATTCAAATTTGTTCTATACCAAATGCGTGTGAATATCAACAATACTAGAATTAATTATTGTTGCTAAATCTGCTCATATAAAATTTATAAAGTTATTTTGTTCTTTATCCATGGGTTCACTTGGGAGAGGATATGTGAAACTTGGAATAACTTAGTAGAACAACAGACTAACAGACCAGATCTTCCCTTTGGTCAGCAAGAACTCTCTCTTTATCTCCTCCTTTGCCCAGCTTTTCCACATGATATGTGGTACACAACTTGTCAGTGAATGGGTTGAAATTTTGACTGTGACTGTTTATATTAGTCTGCAACCAGAACTTCCTTGACCCCAAAAGTTTTCATTTTTAATTATTCATTTACTTTATTTTTTTCTCGCCAACTGGTGGCTATTTTGAAGATCTTACTTTATAGATTTTATTGTCTTTGTACAGTGTAACCCGGATATAAGAGAGATTTTCTCTGGTCCCAAATTAGAGCCTGTGTTAATATACATAAAATAGACCAAACCCGGATATAAGAGACTTTTTCTCCAGTCCCGACAACTCTCTTATATCCGGGTTACACTTTATAAAAATGTCACAGAAATTGATGCACTTTAGATAAAATCATTCAAAATCCACTTTGTAGGTGTTTTAAGTCAATTGTGTGTTTGTGTCAAGGAGACCCAATGTATCATAATTAAATATAGCATGTATGAATTTTTTTTTATTCCTTACCATCTAAACCAAAATCTTTGGCATATTTTAAGTAAACCTTTTAAAATTCTTGTTTACAGGGTCAGCTCTATTTCTTGGTATTTTCTCAATGTATTTGGACTTCGAAGCATGTATACACTTATCCTTGGCCAAGATAATGGTAAGATAGTGCCTCTTGTGTTGACTTGACTCTCTTAAGCTGATTTCATCTTTTATGTTATGATGGTCTGATCTTGAAGTTGGCTAACATGTTTTTTTAACAGCATCTTTTTTTTTTTTTTTTTTTTTTTTTTTAAGTCCCCCACAAAAAAAAATTAAAAAAGAAAAAAAAAGTTCTTTGATCGCCCTCACCAAAGTTTCAAATCATCCCCAAACCCAAATTTTGTTTAGCTTTATTATTTATAGTTGTTAGTAACATAACGAAACCTCATTAAAATGTTTAGGAAATATTTTTTGATTCATCCAATTTTTAAACTTAGGTCTCCCTCCCCTGCAGCCAAAAGCTGTTTTTAATGCAAATTGTACAGATTGGAACCAAATTTCAATCAGCTAAAATAGTAGTTTTAAGAATGAATAAATACAATAACAAATTACTTCAGTTTTACTGAAATTTTTATAAAAATTGCAACATTATTTGATAATTTCAGTTAAATCACTTTGAATAATTTTATGCAAAAATGTTAATTTTCTTGCTTAGTAAGTTTGAGCCTAATTTAAGAATTGTAACCTATGAATTAATTTTCTAAATAAAGAATATTACTGAATGGAAGCCAAGTGATATAAATGGCATAATAGGCAAAGGAGTAGTGGAGCTGTGGCAGTGCTGCTATAGTAGCCATAGGACATGTTCTTTGGTGGGTGGGGGGAGCAAAACTAGCAAGGGGTTATACCAGGAATAAGTGAATTCCAGACAGATCAGATGATGCTAGAAGAGGCCTCTTGTTGGTGACTGACAAGGACAGGAACTGCCTAACAAAGATGAACATGTCAGCAAATCACATCCTTTTACACTTACTTTCATTAAACCTACTTTCAATATAAATTCTCATAATTGTTGTAATGTAGTGTGTGTAATGTAGTGTGTCCCACAATTATTTAATATATTTTCTGTTTATGTGTTATTTTAATAGATGCGATTTATTTAAATAAATGCTATGTTTTTTTAATTAAACAATATTATGTTTACTGGCTTGAATATGTCACAGTAATGAAAACCAAATTTTGATTTTCTTTTGTTTATTGTTCACAGCTGCTGATCAAACTAAAGTAATGCAGGAGCAAATGTCTGGTTCAGCAATGGTGGCACCTCCAGATCCCATGAAAGCTTTTAAGGTAAGTTTTTATAGAAGAAGAAAAAATATGGAAAAATATCAAGTATACTAATAACTTAAAATTACAACTGATTTTAATTACATGAAGATGAATTGACCGATCAAGTAATAATATTGAGTCATTTTGAAACAGCTGTACTCAAATTTTTACCAAATTTTAAACAACTCTACTACTGACATCTGTGTCGTCTAAGACACTAAAAGAATATAAAATTAAATAAAAAAAAAGAAATGACCAAATGTTATTTTACCCTATATTTAAGAAGTCTGTCTTTAGTTAGATTGGAATGTCCTTCTGTTCTATTTATTAAGCATAAATATAAAATATAAGGAAAACAAATTTAATCAAGCATTTAAACAATTTCAGTAGTAATTCTTGCACAGAAATTGTATTTATGTCTTAATAAAACTTATATTGACTGCTGTTCTTGCACAGGCATGTACGTGTTTTTTTTTATATATATATATATATATATATATGAGTTGGTTGGTTTGGCAATTTATGTTTTGGTATCGGTTTCCGGTTTTGTTTCCTTTGATGCCACAGTTTTCGATTCAGCTTTTTTGGTATTTAATTTAGTATTTTTACTTTCTAAGGAAGCCATTCATTTTATTGTGTAATGATAGCGTTTCCAGTCAATATCTGATTGATATTTAATCTTTTCAACTCACAATATCTCGTGTATTTCTGGTTCAATCTTAAAAATATTGATGTGACTGGAAAGAAAATAAAATCTTTCTAAATATGTAATTTGTATGTGCTTTTATTCATTGAATTATTTTTTCGCAGCGAGTTAAAATGGTATTGCTTTGATTTTTAGAATGTGTAGATTTCATAATCTGTGAGTATCACCTGTTCTTTTTTAGATACACATTTTAAAAATGAAATTAAAAACTATTTTAACCATTTTAATATAATCTTAAGTGTATTATTCACCAGATAAAACCATAAAGTAAAGATATTTGTAAAAATAAAATAAATGAATTTTCCTTGTTTAGAAGAATTTTATAGGCAGAGCAGTAACAGTTACCAAACACTAGTGGCTAAAAAAGAATTTACTTTGGGTTTAAAAAATGACTTGCAGTTTTGAAAATATACACATTTTAAAACTGAGATTAAAACTTTATTTTTTTTACTATCTAATATTATGTGTATTTGCTAGAAAACGGACGCTCACATATCTGGAAATATACACATCTTAAAAGTGAAATTAAGAACTATTTTAATTATTCTTAATATCTAATTTAGGTGCATTCCCTAGATTAAAAAAACAAATTTATTTATAAAAAAATCTTCATTCATTTTTCTTGTTTACAACTACTTTATTTGTGATTGGCATATAATGGCTTACTAGAAAACCCTTACAAAAATCTGACTTCATAAAATTTAACATTAAGATGAAACTGGCAACTATGCTATTTTGTTGTTAACTTAATTTTACTGCGAAAAGTTTTTTTTTTTTTTTTTTTGAAAACTGAAACAAGTAAATTTCAGACATAATGTATTTCCTTTTTTTCTTCTTCATTTCTTTTGTAAACAAATAGATTTCGCATTTATTTCTTAAAACTAGTCAATTAAATGTTCTTAACATTTTTGTTCAATCTTTTTCTCTTACAATGTTGATAAAATTTGATTTTTATTAACATCTGAAAGTCTTTTTCAATAGTGTTTCTTTGGATATGGTCACTCAATAGTGATATGAAACTGAAATTGTTCAGTTTTGTTAATTTTCAAAAAAAGTAGTTTTTTCGGTTAAACTGCACATCTCTTTTATATATAAATAAAATTAAAAGGAAACTTAGCTGACATGTTTCATCCTCTTGAACTTTTTCAAGGCAAATGTAGGGGTTTTATTTTTACAAAAAGTATTTATAAACAAAAGTAAAATTGTAGGTTTTTCAAAATTTTTAAATTTAAGAAATGCTCATAAATATTTTTCACATAAACAGAAAAATCAAGGTAAATTATGGAAGATGCTAAGTGATGTAATTTAATGTCTTATAAATGAAAGGGAGTAAATGATATTGTTGAAATTTTTATACAAATTAATATTTAAATTATTTTAGTTTGAGATTTATGCATTATATATTTTAAATAGCATGAGCTTATTAATTTCACCATTTTTATAGCTTTTTTAACATTTTTATAATCCTATATGTTGGCTTGGGATAGAAATTATGCTTTTAGGAATGGAGATATTTGAAAAGATTTTGGGTGCAGATTTATATTTTGCTAAAATTTGACTACCTCTGTATATTTTAGTAGTTACTCATTTCAGTAGTTACTCATGTCATGAGTTCCATAACCTATTAGGGTCATAGGGGTACTATATGTACTGCAGCCATAGCAACAATAGTGTATCTAAGGCAAACTTGTCTCAAGAAGCCTATCCTGCTTCAGACTGGTTTTTTGAATTCAGTTTTCCTTCTCCTAGACTGGTTGCCACCTGGAGGCCCAGTCATCCTTTAACTGAGAGCTATGGGGATTTGTGTGGAAATAAATGTAACAAATTCTACTAGAATTTGAACTTGGCTCAACATTTTCTAAGTTGCTAACTGTTACACTATATTCAGTAGTGACTTCATTTTGGATAATTCATTTTTTTTTTTTTTTTTTTTTTTTTTCAGTTCATCTTTGTCTAATTTGAACTATTTTCCCAAAATATTGCTCGTATTTTGTATAAAAGTTAAATCATGGAATTATTTTGGTAGAATGAATGTCTTGGCTTTCAATTCAATTTTCAATGTAATTACACTAAGATGCAAAGGGCTACTGGGAGTGAATGAGAATTAAAAAGGCTTTAGAAGGAACCAGAAAGCCAATCTTAAAAATGAAACAAAGGATGGACCTCTACTCCTGTTCAAATGATGAGGGAGGAGTGTGAGCTGGACAATAAGAACCTATCTATTCCTATTGGAGGGGGAAAATAAATACAATTTCAGAGTTTAGGTAGACGTTAGACGTATAGAATTGAAGTAGATTTTAGAGGGAACTAGAAATCCAAACCTAAATGGGGGAAACAAGGGGTACACCTTCCCACTCCTGTTAATATGATCGGGGAGGGAGGAAGTATGAACAGTTGGTTTCAAAATAAAAAAATTAAATTGTTTATGATTTCAAAATAAATGTGTGTTTGTTTTTTATATATATATATATATATATATATATATATATATATATATATATATATATATATATATATAAATATATATAAAAATATTTGAAAAAGGTTTAGTCATTTTGACATGTAATGATTAGCAAGCTTGTCAGATCAATTTTGACTGAATTTGAAGTTCAATCCTTATTGGGTTCTCCATACTTTTGGCCTTGTGCCATGCCTAAGCTATGCTTAGAAAACTACCATCTGGCAAAGTAAATTTAATTGTTCATACAATTTTTAATTTCTAGTTAAACTGTTTTTTCTGATGCGGAAAAGTACAGCCTGTCCTGGATCAAATTACACCTTAGACTAAGGTTATTAAATATTTTTTAACATAAGCTTCAAATTGTTAAGTCCTTGATCAGAATATATAGAAATATATATTAATATTATCAATCAATAAATATAGCCTTTAACGTTTGAATGTTTGTGAAACATTAATTGTATAAGTTAATTTTGACATTCATTGTATAAATTGCTTTTTGCAGGCTGAGTGGGAGGCTCTTGAAATCTGTAACCATCAATGGATGCTGGAAGGAGTTGAGGATGAACTCACAGGTGGAATCATTCCAGAGACCATTTATATCAAGAATAAATTTGCATGAGACTGAATGATTGGGAGTTAATATTTTAATGGTGCCCATTCTGGGAAGGTGTCAGCTGTTTTGTGTGCATACATGCAGAGCCCCCCCCTCCAGCCCCCCTCACCCACTTCTCTCTTCCTCTGTTCTGTTGTGATTTTTGTATATTGAGTTGACACGTTTCTGCACCACACTCGGGACATTTCTTTTTTTTTTTTTTTTTTTTTTTTTTTTTTTTGACATTAAAATTATCGTTACACCTGACATGAGTCATTGACATAAAACATACCTCTATTCCCCCCCCAATATTAATTAAAAGAATGATGAGAGTAAAAATCTTTTTATGCCAACATGTTTTGTTTCTTGACAGAACTTTATCAAGGCAAGCATAAAAATTTTATTTAGTTACATGGTGAAAAATAATGTTATGTTTCACATTTTGAATTAGAGAATGTGCCAAAATATTTGAAAATGTTCCTGCATAATGGTAAAGTATGGAGGATGTTAAGTGACATAGGTTTTTGGCATATTAAAGGAAAGTGAATTAATGTTGTTTAATATGCGAACAACTTGTATCACTTAGCGCCCTCCATAGGTATCTTTATGCAGCAGCATTGTATTTTGGTGTTCTCTAATTAAAAATTTGAATATTTCAAGTTATTTTCCTATATGTTGCTTTTGTATATAAATACAGGTTACTAAATAAAATTTCTACACTTACCGTCATAAATTTCCATCAATTAAACATGTTGGCAAAAGGTTTTCCTTGTTTTTTTTTATATATATATATATATATAATATATATATATATATATAAAAAACTTCAAATGTTGTTCTAGTGGATACTTGTATTTGAAATGGCTGTCTTATTTTTATTTATTAAACTGTGTATTAAGTCTGCCTATTGGCCTACCCTGCCGACATGTTTGATAGGGTGTCTATTTCAAATACAAAGTTTCCACTAAAAATAACATTTGAAGTAATAAAAAATGTTGGATTAATAATAAATCCGTTAATTCTAAATATTTGGCTGAGAATCTGACAGAATGGTAAATATATATGACAATTTTGAAAACTTCAGCTCTGACAGGTTTTGCTAATGAATTGATGGTGTCAGAAAAATAACTTTATTTTACAAGAACAAAATTTAAAATTCGCCAAATGAAGCCCGATTCAAATACTTTTTTTTTTTTTTTTTTTTTTTTTTAAGTTAACTCTATTGCAATAGTAATTAAACTTAGTTTATTTTCAACTTATGTTTTGTATGGTTAAACTAGTTTTGGTTCTTGTAAAATAAAATTCTTTTTCTGACAATGCCAGTTTGAGGAAACATGTCAAAGCAAAATGTTTACAATTTGTCAAAAAAAAAAAAAAAAAAAAAAACACCACCACATAGGTCTATAAAACAGGTCACCAGAAAAATCAATACTAGAAAACATTTGGAAATAATTGCAAGTTTAAAAAAAAAAAAAAAAAAAACATAATTGAAGAGTTGGTATTGAACTTGAAAATAAAAATCATGAGCCATCAGTTTATTTATATTACTTTTCCTGGATAGGGGAGGATATTTCCTCCTTAAAATAAAACACAAACTAAAGACTTATGGGTGCACTTGTAGAATTATTCTTCATTGAGAAAGAATAAAGAATTCTATCCCAAATGTGTGGAATATGTTATAACAAAGAATTTATTCCTGTTTGTTTTGTTTTGTTTTGTTGTGTTGTGTGTGTTTGTTTTATTTTTATTTTTTTTTTTTTTTTTTTTTTTTTTTTTTTACCCCATTTCAAATGCCAGTTTTGTATCTTACATGTCACTTCACTGACAGCAAGATGATTGAATTTCAAACCTAAATTTCAATTAATGCTTCTTCACCCCAAGCAATTTATTTTCATTATATAATTCTTATTTCACCCCAAACAAGACAATAATTCCACTAAAGGAAAGGCGTTACTGAGTGTGAAGAGAAAGAGCAATAAAAGAACAGGACAGCAATTTTTGCTGCGTTTATATTTTTGAATATCATAAGTGATGGGAGAAGCAAGAAGTTGGAAGAGAGCTCCACAAGCAAGAAGTGTGAGAAAAACTTTTAGAACTGAACCTATGGTTACATTTAGCTATAAAACCATGAGACCTTGTTGCTAGTCTTGTACTACATTTAAATTTCATGCAGTTGAGGTATAAGGGGTGAGAAAATGAAATCGGGTATAGCTGATCATGTATAAAGAGAAAGGGGTAGTTATCAGCCCCAGTAGAATGAAGTGAGAATACTGGACAAAGACGATGTATTACAGAATCGGTGCATATGCTAGGCTATGAGGATGTTGTCAGTAGGCCTAGCAGAGAAATTTAATATGGGAACCACTAATAAAGACAAATGTCAGCAATCAAAAGATGTCAACAGAAGTTGCAAATCTAATCAACAGGCAGGTTAGGTTTAAAGCTCCATGTTCAACAAATTATCCTATAGTCTAGTGGATTAAAGCATTGGTTTGTGAATTTAGTGACATTGTGTTTGTGAGTTCAATCCCTGGGTTAGGCAGTGTGAACTTGCACTCAGTGGAAACAGGTGAGCAATAACTGAACAGTACTAAATAAAAATAGTAACTAAATGATACCCCTAGACATGAGAAGTGGAATGAGAGCAGTCTGTAGATTAAATAAATGTGCGGTCCAGAATTCCCTGTAGGTTACCTAGATTGATCTACACCGGAGCGAGGCTGCAGATCATACTGTTGATAACAAAGATGAGGACAATAGTCTGAATATAAATAGTAAATAAGTAAGCCTTCTAGAAATTCAGATAGAAAACTTGAATTCTGGTGAGAAAAATTGATTAAATATAAAATTGTTTTTGTTTTTCTTTCAATTAACTTCCAGAAATATTGACTTGTAATGATTTTCAGTTCATTAGTCCCAAAAAGCACTGAACCTAATTTTATTTATTGTAATTTTTTCAAATTTTTTTAGTCATTGACATTTGGATGAAAATCTGACTGAATAGTAGATATATGACAATTTATAAAAATTTATAACAAAGACAAATTAGTAAAACCTATTTCTAAATCAATGCAGTTAAGGTAAAAAAAAGACAAACATGTGCTTAATGTAAATCGTGATCTGTCACGATGTGACACTATTTGTTACTGGTAAATAATAAATAAGTTTTTTATTTATTTATTTATTTTTTTTTTAATAGAAGGAACGATATACTGACAGACGCCTGATAAATAAGAAGGGTTAATGAATACACCGAACGACATACCAGTAAACTCCCGTGGGAAAGATAGAAAATTTTATTTTTTTAACCAGACGGCTAGCAAAGAAAACAACATTTAACTACGACTGGGCATATGGCAGATATTTTGATACTTGAATGACCTACAGCTAAAAATACGGGCTGTGAAGGCAAGAGGAGACAATCTGATAGGATTTAAAATCGTCATTCGGAGATAGGGACGTTTTTAGAGAATGTCCCTGATGGGACCCGAAGGTGTAGAAAGCTATCTGGTTTATGTTTCAATGAATAAATAGGGTTGACGTGGAAAAATTTTTCTGCATAGATAACAAACTTGGAATTAATCTTTCTTTGCGTCTTCACCCCGAGGCAGTCAGCAACCTTCGGTTGGAGAGTGGCCGAGGTGGCCGGCGCAGATGAGACACCAACGAAGGTGGAGGAGTTATCCACGCCCACTGAGGAGTATTAGTGGGAGATGATAATAAGAGAAGGTGGAAGTTATGGCGCGGATTAATGCCTGCGACCATCACCCGTGGAAGAGGGGAATTCCCCAAATTAGGATGTAAGTAATTCTCAGAATCCAGACAATGAAGATGAATACCCAGGCACATCACGCCCCCCCCACGCCGGTTTGGACGAACGCCAATAAATACAAATGCCTCGAAGCGAGAAGCCACCGGACGCGAGACACACCACGTGATTATCTGCCGACGAGAACCTCCGATATCACCCTTGTGCCAAACCTCACCAAATCGTCAAAACAAATTTTACCAGCAAAGTCTCGTGTCTGATTTAAGTGAGTTGGGTCGATAATTGTCTGCATGTGAACTCCTAGACGTTAACAACCAACTGTTGTACGAAGGACACTTATATAAAAGTAATATCTATTTTTTGATTCGAGTGTTATATATTTTTTCTTCTTTGCGTCTTCACCCCACTCGGAACTGCCCAATACGAAGATACCTGACGGTGATTTGATATTGGCCTGACTTATGATCAAAGCAAATCACAACGTATGATAGGTCAAGGCCTGGATCAAAGCGATCACCTATTCGATCAGCCGCGGGTGTTGGACATCTTGGACGATCAGGGAGGGGCTTCAGGGCGACACGATAGTGTTAATAATTAAAATAAAATTCATTTTTCTTTTGACACTGATTGCTAAAAAATGTCATATACTGTGTTCGTCTGGTTTTTGCACGTCCGAAAGTTGAGAGTGCCCCCACTCCGACTGAGAAAAATCTGGTGTTATATAGCTCTTCCAGTCCCAGACCCACGCTGACTATTAATTAATACCTGCCCATTATCGTTCATATGCAAATAGAACAACCTACTATAAGTAGAAGGTCTTCTCTAAACAACCCATTGCGGAAGACGACACAACTCCTGGTGCTTACAGCACCAAATACAATCAACTCGGAGTCTTTTATCGGGTTGGCCCGATTCTCTGTTACATATATTTACCTTTTGTAGCCTTAGAAATGTCTTGTGTTTTTAATCTCAAAGCGAGATACTAAATCTTCAAGATTTCTAGGTTTTGGAACTCTGTTTTAATAATATTGATTATGTATTAAAATCTGTTAGATATGTTTTTGTAACCTTTTGACACCATTATCTTACAAAAAAAGCGTACATTGAAAACTTTGTCATTTCCTCTGGCAAAAAGGAGATTCCATATTTTCGGCAATTTTATGCTTAGATTAATTAAGGCAATTGCTTTTTTTTATATGCTTCCTATTCCATTTGAGATTGTACTTTCCAGTTCTGAGTGTTTCTTTGCTTCAATGTT